CAATTTTACACTAGGATTCAGGTATTTCAGTTCCTGTTCAATTTTACACCAGGATTCAGGTATTTCAGTTCCTGTTCAATTTTACACTAGGATTCAGGTATTTCAGTTCCTGTTCAATTTTACACTAGGATTCAGGTATTTCAGTTACTATTCAATTTTACACTAGGATTCAGGTATTTCAGTTCCTGTTCAATTTTACACTAGGATTCAGGTATTTCAGTTACTATTCAATTTTACACTAGGATTCAGGTATTTCAGTTCCTGTTCAATTTTACACCAGGATTCAGGTATTTCAGTTCCTGTTCAATTTTACACCAGGATTCAGGTATTTCAGTTCCTGTTCAATTTTACACTAGGATTCAGGTATTTCAGTTCCTGTTCAATTTTACACTAGGATTCAGGTATTTCAGTTCCTGTTCAATTTTACACTAGGATTCAGGTATTTCAGTTCCTGTTCAATTTTACACCAGGATTCAGGTATTTCAGTTCCTGTTCAATTTTACACTAGGATTCAGGTATTTCAGTTCCTGTTCAATTTTACACTAGGATTCAGGTATTTCAGTTCCTGTTCAATTTTACACTAGGATTCAGGTATTTCAGTTACTATTCAATTTCACACCAGGATTCAGGTATTTCAGTTCCTGTTCAATTTTACACTAGGATTCAGGTAGTTATAGGTTCCTGTTCAATTTTACACCAGGATTCAGGTATTTCAGTTCCTGTTCAATTTATTCAGCTGCAGATAACAAGGAATGGTATTCACTACATGTGAAAAGGCAGGGAAAAAATCGTAGACAACAAAGATAGTAATGGGAATTTTCTCATAAAATCACGAGCTAAGAAAAAAAATCAGAATGCAAATAATTCATGGTCTTCTCGCAGGGGTAAACTGGACCGTAAGTAATTATTTTAATGTCGCCCTCTGGTGTCCAAAGTTGTTTGTTTGAATCGCGCCCTCATCGCACCTCAGTTTGCCTAATTATATAACAGAGCTTATGATTGGTCCGCGTATTTGTAAATCTTTTTCTGATTGGTAAACGAGAAAAAAGGCCATTACTTTCAAAATCCTTTGAGTGAGGAACAACATTTCGTTTTGGAGTTTCAACGTAGTCAGGAGTTATTTACATTTACAATAACATTTCCTCAAAGAAATGGCCTCACAGAATATTGATCCCGCTGCAAGAGTTACAAGAGTGAAAGAAGCAGAGGCGGATGGTCCGTCGAAGAAAGATTCGCATTCTGTTAGCAAACGGTAAGCATATGCAAGATTCCATTTCGAAGGCACCGTCCGGGCATTCCTGAAGGATACAACTTTACAGTAGTTGTCTTTTTATTAGCCTTTCTGCTCTGTGGACTGTTATTAAAGAAAAATAAGCTCACGTGTAATTAGATTATGTGTTTCCCACGGCTGTTTTCTTGCCCTTTATTGCCACGTTGTAGTATGTGCATGTGTTTCGCATCGATTTTTTTGTGGAACACACCGAAACTCCATGATCCAACGCGACGCTCAGCTTGGTCTTTTAAGTCTGATTTCAACCTAGCAATGTCATTTGTTACACTGTAAATGTATCTAAGGTGGCGACCTATTATACCGGTAGTACTAGCTCTTGTGCTCATCAAAAAATGTGCGTATGGTCATAATGATGCATTATACATTGAATAAAAGCTAAAAAACTGATTCTGAAAACCGCTATCTTCCTATGAACCTTCTCTTGGAAGTTCTTCTGAGGTGGACCAATGATAATTTGTGGGGGTCTGGAGGAAATTCATAAATTGCAAATATGGCAAACAATTTTTTTGTTTTCCCAGTGTGAGAGTCATTATTTTTTTTCTACTAATAGTGTTTTTATTCACTCATAATCAATACGATTTGATAAAAATGTAGAATAAGAAAATATCAACAGTATCCAACATTTTTCAAATTTTCTCAACTACTAGTAACCCTTTGTTCTTGTGGTTTAGTATATTTTCTGCACATTTATATAGAAAGACAATTGCTATATGTTTACACGGCAGCATTCTATCGGAGGCCGAACGAGAGCCGAGATCTTCCAATAGACCATTTTTCGCTCGCTGCGAGAATCGCGTGTTATGCGTGAAATCGAACGTAAAAACAGGACAAACAAAGGTCATAGCGTCGTAGTGGCATCAAACATCGTGTGGGATTTGACAAACGCGAAAGTATTTTCGGGGACATTTCCATGCTTAATAATGTGCTGTACACATTTGATGATAGGCAATTTTGATTAAAGTGCCTGTGCAATGCCCACTCTCACGTTAACTATTTTAGATCCGTGTCCTACTGAAGTGGGCAGTTATTGATTTTTTTGTCAAAATGGTTACTCCTATCCAAGTAAATTTAAGATGTATCTCGTGCTGTAGCCACGCCCACCTATCCTGAAACGGTCGACTGTTTCCGGATTTCCGACTCTCGCCGAAAGTGCGCCACCAAATGCCAAAATATGAGAGGAAGCCATACTCCTGAGCTGTACTTATATAACACTGCGTGATTCAACATACTTTTAAACGATATACATTTTTCGGTCGGCATTTCTTTTTTTTGTCATTTTTTTTTTTTTTTATGAGATAGAGAGTTTTTAGAAGTTGTTTTCAGAACAAACGTTTGTGATGGTTAAACGTTGTGTTGTGGGCGGTTGCAGTAATACGTATAGTCATAGTGTAAGTATTCACACTTTTCCAAACGATCCGAAGGTGCGACGTCAGTAAACGAAAGCCGTGAAAACAACGAGAAAAAAGTTGGG